ACTCAGGAATCACTCCTGATGGTGCTCGGGGGACCATATGGGATGATGGCAATTGAACCTGAGTCAGCTGCATGCAAGGCAAACGCCCTACCCACTATACTATTGCTCCAGCCCCCAAATACACACTTTGCATGTTGGAGGCCCTAGGTTCAATCCTTGGCATCTAAATGTTTTTTTTTTTTCCAGAGAGTAATCAGTTAAATCTTTAACCTGATTATTTATAAAAAAAAAAAAATAAAGGGCCAGAGAGACATGCAGGAGATTGGGCACTGGCTCTGCATGCAGCCACTTCAACCCCCATTGGCTTGATCCCGGGCACCGCATATGGGCCCCTAAGCACTGCAGGTGGCCCAAAAACAAAAAATAATAAAATGAGGGGAGACAAAAGTTGGGGAGCTAAACCATGTATTTATAGCAGCTATAAAATGAAGGAATCTTCCGAGCACTGTCTTTTTATTGTTAGAGCACTAAAGTTTTTTCCTTTATTCTCAAATAGATGAAGATTAAGTTCAGGCTTTCTGTGCTGACAAGGGAAGTGGCAGTACTGCCTTTCCTTGAAGCTGCAAGATCTAACCTAGCTGTTGCTTTGTACACCAAGTCCCTTTGTCTCCTCGGCTTTTCCTGTTCCAGCTTCCCTGGAAAGCCCTCACAAGCCCATGAGCCTGGAGCTCTCAGAGAGATTCTCATTGTGTTTCGGTGAGTCATTTAACAAAGCCTGAGGGCTGCGGTGCTGTATTGGCACCAGGAACCCACCTGGGAGCTGGAGTGATGGCACAGCGGGTAGGGCGTTTGCCTTGCATGTGGCTGACCCGGTTCAATCCCCAGCATCCCATATGGTCTCTTGAGAACTGCCAGGAGTAATTCCTGAGTGCAGAGCCAGGAGGAACTCCTGCACATCGCTGGGTGTGACCCAAAAAGCAGAAAAAAAAAGTAAAAACACTGGAACCCACCTGTGACACAGGAGTCACACGTGTGCGGGCAGGACGGACAGATGAGCACTGTCTTCCCCAAATTTGACCGGGGTGTCGAAGGCTGCTGTCCTCTGAGCTCAGAGTAGGCTAGCCAGAGCTTGAGAGTCTGTTTATTTGTCCAGTTGGGTATGTTTCCTTTTGATATCCAGAGCCCTGAAATGGGTGAGTGTATTTGCAGTGGCTGGAATGGTGACCGAGGACTTAAGCAAACGTGGACTGTTGCTTGCTTTTGAATTCTGCTTTTTGCACCCACAAACGGAGAGGCTGGAGAGATGGCTCAAGGGCTGGAGTACATATGAGTTATTTGGTAGAGGGGCCACAGCGACAACACACTGGATAGGTCATGTGCATTGCATGTGGCCGACCTAGGATTCATTCCCCGGCATCCCTTATGTTCCCCTGAGCACCACCAGAAGGAATTCCTGAGTGCAGAGCCAAGAGCAACTCCTGAGCATCACAAAGTGTGACCCTGCCCTCCCCCCCCAAAAAAAAGGATTTTGAGAGGAACTAGAAATAGAGACAAGCAAATAGGCTGCTTGCTTTGCGTGTGGCATCCTGTAGGGTCTCCCAAGTGTGGCCAGGAGTGACCCCTGAGCGCAGAGCTAGGATTAAGCCCTGGGCACCACAAGGTGGTAAAGCCAAAATTATAACAGTGGGGATTTATTAAAATGAAGCAGAGGAGGGGCTGGCGCGATAGCACAGCGGGTAGGGCGTTTGCCTTGCACGCAGCCAACATGGCCAACACAGGTTCGATTCCCAGCATCCCGTATGGTCCCCCGAGCACCGCCAGGAGCGATTCCTGAGTGCATGAGCCAGGAGTAACCCCTGAGCATCGCCGGGTGTGACCCAAAAAGAAAAAAATTATAACACTGGGGATTTATAAAAATGAAGCAGAGGAGGGGCCGGAACGATAGTACAGCCGATAGGGCCTTTGCCTTGCACAACTGCCAACCCTGGTTCGATCCCCGGCATCCCATACGGTTTCCCCAAGCACCACCAGGAGTAATTCCTGAGTGCAGTGCCAGGAGTAACCCCTGTGCATCGCCGGGTGTGACCCAAAAAGCAGGAAAAAAAATTAAAAATGAAGCAGAGGGGCTGGAGTGATAGCACAGCGATAGCGAAAGCACAGGGCATTTGCCTTGCATGTGGCCGACCCAGGTTTGATTCCCAGCATCCCATATGATCCCCCGAGCACCGCCAGGAGTAATTCCTGAGTGCATGAGCCAGGAATAACCCTGAGCATCGCTGGATGTGACCCAAAAAGCCAAAAAGAAAAAAAAAAGGAAAACTGAGGTATAGGAAAGCAGCAGAATCTGCCCTTATTAAGAGCCAAAGAGCTCAGTGCGCTGAGCACACGCTTTACATGCAGGAGGCCCAAGTTCAGTCCCCGACACCTCAGTCCCCTGAGCACCGCCAAGAGACTCCCGAGCACTGAGGGCTGGCCCCCATGCCACTAGCTGTGGCCCAGGAACAGAGCATCTGAGGGAGTTTCTGAGAGTCGCACACACTGTGGGGTGGGGGCCGAGCTCGGGCCCATCCTGGCTCTGTGCCGGCTGACCAGGCTGCTCTTTCGCTTTTCTTTTTCCCCTGTGTTTGTGGTTGCCGTGGAGAGGGCTGCAGGTTCTCACCAGGCCTCACCCGCGGTTGGCATCGCGCGCCTGTAGTGTCGGCCTGGTCGGAGGTGAATGAACTCACAGCTCCAGGCCTGGGACACTTGGCGCTGCTCACAGCTTACTCATGGCTCTGCGCTCGGGGATCATGCCCGGCAGGGCTCAGAGATCGAACCCTGGTCGGTTGCATGCAAGAAAGGCGCCCTACCCACTGTGCCATCTCTCCGGCCCGCCTGTGACTTTTCTTGTGTAGCCTCAGACCTAAGAGATGCCCCCGGATAGTGGAACGTGGCACCTTCCACACATACTGATGCTGACCTTTACCTCCAGTGGGCAGAGGTCTCGGGGATGTGGAGGGAGGCCCGTGTCCAGCCCTGGCAGCGGGAGGCCCCGGGACATGGAACGGCCCCCACTGCCCGCTGCCCCCGGGGAATTGGTAGCTCTCCTTCACGGCCTCCCGTGTCCTGGCCCCCTCGTGTGTGCCCTCAGCTGCCCGCGACCAGAAGGGAGGGAAGGGTCTGGAGCCTAGATGCTGCCCCTGGGGAGGGCGGCTGCTGGGAAGAGGGTTTGGTTGCTAGACAGCCAGGAAGAAAAGAAAAGACACGTAAACCGTCAGCTGTGCTATGGGACGCCTGATCTCTAGGGATACCAACATTTCTCAGCTTGCTGACACGCGTTTGCTTTTCTTTTTACTTCTAATGGTGTTCATTGGATCTTAAAAAACTGGGACCAGAGCGATAGCACAGCGGGTAGGGCGTTTGCCTTGCACACAGCTGACCCAGGTTCAATCCTGGGCATCCCATCTGGTCCCCCAAGCACTGCCAGGAGTAATTCCTGAGTGCAAAGCCAGGAGTAACCCCTGAGCATTGCTGGGTGTGACCCAAAAAGCCAAAAAAAGAAGAAAAATACTAAAGATGGGAGGTGGCTGGAGACACAGTACAACAGGCTGGGTGTTTGCCTTACATGGGACTCAGCATCCCATAGTGTCCCCCGAGCTGTGCCAAATGTGACCTCTGAGCTCAGAGCCAGGAGTTAGCCCTGAGCACAGCTGGGTGTGGCCAAAATAAATAAAAAATGATTTGGCTTGGGGGCCATGGTCAGTTTAGGGGTTTTTCCCAGCTTGGCGCTCAGAAGACCATGCAGTGCCCAGGATTGAACCCGGGCTTCCAGCATATCTTCCTGGCCTCACTCGTATTGGGTTTTTTTTTTCATTTTTTTTAATTTTTATAAAGTTGTTCACAATATTTGATTACATTTAATATTCGAACACCCATCCCACCACCATTACACCTTCCCACCACCATAATTCCATCCCGAGCCCCAAACCCTGGCCCCAGAGCAGAACCAAAATAATTTATTTTCTATTGCTTGCTATGAATAATCCACTAAAAATGAGACAAAAAAGGTTTTTTTTAGAGGAAAGTGTGTGTATTTCACCCAAGAGCCATTCAGCCCTTCTATAAGAGATCAGGAACATGTTAATGGTTGAGTCTTGCGTTCTTATATCTATATCTGTATAAATATATTTCCTCTAAGATTGGCTGCCTTCTGCTTTAAAAGCAGTCAGATGTGATGTGCTACTCTTCGTCTATTGGTCGTGTAAAGTCCGAGATGTCTCAGGCCCCATTTGCAGCCGCGTGTATTGTTTTCTTGATGGATCTCTTTTACTTTATTTGGGCGATTTGGGGGTTCTGCCCAGAAGTGCTCAGAGGCTATACCTGGTTCTCTTTCCAGGGTGACAGCTGGCAGTGCTCAGGGGACATGTACAGTGATGGGACTGAACAGGCCTTAGCTTCTTTTTTTTTTTTTGGCTTTTTGGGTCACACCCGGTGATGCACAGGGGTCACTCCTGGCTCTGCACTCAGGAATTATCCCTGGCGGTGCTCAAGGGACCATATGGGATGCTGGGAATCGAACCTGGATCAGCCGCGTGCAAGGCAAATGCCCTGCCCGCTGTGCTATCTATCACTCCTGCCCCCTGAGCAATCTTAAAGCTTGTTTTTCCTCTGTGATATCTTTTAAATCTTTTTCTTTTATTATTCGATCTCCATGAAATTACAGAGTTGTTCATGATTGGGCTTCGGGCAGAGTGTTTCCTCCCTCACTTCACCAATGCCCCCCACTCTGTTTGCCGGTCAGCTTCTACGAGAGGCACTTTTTTTCTTTTTAAACAAGTCTTTGCACTGTGGTTTACAGGACAGTTGCTGGTGGCGTTTCATATTCCTTTTTGTTCTTGGACCTCTTCGGGGATGTGCTTCCTTCAGCTCTGGGGGACCTTGGCTGTCTTCTCCTTAGGAGCAGCGTCTATGAATAGTTTATGGACTGTGAGCCTCGCTACGGGGTGATTACCTGAGTTGTTCACTGGCATCAAATAGAAATCTCCTCCAGGGCCTTAGTTTTCCTTAATACACGTAATCAGAAATTGGATGAACCTTCGGGATGCTGAGACGGGGAAGATCCTCTGGCAAGGAACAGAAGACCTGTCTGTCCCGGGAGTGGAGCATGAAGGTACTTTGGCTGCACGGGACCCTGGAGCAGGGCTAAGGCACTGGGAGCTAAGTTAATGCCAGCCTGTAGAGCGTCAAGTCCTCCAGGTACCGTGTATGACAGGACTCAAGCCCAGGGCTCACGCATGCAAAGCAAGTGCCCCAGCCTGTTAACTCTTCTGGCCCCCGGAATGATAGTACAGCGAGTCAGGCATTTGCCTTGATCACATCAGACCCGGGTTTGATCCCTGGTACCTCATATGGTCCCCTGAGCATTGCCAGGAGTAATTCCTGAGTGCAGAGCCAGGAGTGACCCCTGAACATAGCCGGATGTGGCCCCAAAACAAAGCAAAACAAAATTTCCCTTTTTAACTTCTCATTCTTCCATTCTTCCGATTTCCAAACGTACTTGTGCTAACACTGTTTGCATCCAAACATACCCAGAGATGTAAAGTAGGGCTGGAGCGATAGCACAGTGGGTAGGGTGCCTGCCTTGTATGCATCCAACCCGGGTTTGATCCCTGGCATCCATATGGTCCCCGACCCCACCAGGAGTGATTGCTGAGTGCAGAACCGGGAGTAACCCCTGAGCATCACCGGATGTGGCCCAAACACAAAGTAAACTAAGATCTTAATGTGTGTGTGTGTGGGGGGGGGGTCCAAATAAAATAATTTGCACTTTCATCTTCCTGAAACAAAAGAAGAAACAAGATATTTAAGACAAAAGAACAGAGGGCCAAATAGTAGAGTGAGCAGGGTGTTTACCTTGTGCGGGTCCCACCCACGTTCTATCCCCAGCACCACCCTGAGCTCTGCCAGGGGTGCTCCCTGAGCTCTGCCGGGGTGCTCCCTGCATGGAGCCAGGAGTAAATAAAGGAACAGGGAGAGTCAGAGAAGGTCCTCACTTGGCTGTTCCCCTCAGACCTTAAGCTGCTGGGAATCTGATGGTGCTTCTGGCCTTCAGTCAGAAGCACTTGACCAATTGGGAATCCGCCTGTAATTAAAAAAAAAAAAAAAAAGTATGTTCATAGACCCAGGAGAGGACTGAGAGTCTGGTACATATGCTTTGCATGTGGGAGCCCCGGGTTTGATCCCCAGCCTTGTGAGCACAGAGACAGGAGTAACCTCTGAGCATGCTGGGTATGTCCTAAAGAACACGGCGGGTTCACATCTGTCAGCCAGGTGTCCTGTGAGCGAGCGGGGGGGGGGGGGGGGGGGGGGGGGCGTGGGGGGGGGTGTTGTCTCAGAAGCAGCTGGAAGGCTCCTGCAGGACGTGGCAGCTCAGGGCTCACGCCCAGGCCCTGCCTATGACTGACTGTGGCTCAGTCCCCAGCACCTCGTATGGTCCCCTGGGCAGTGCCAGGAGTGACCGGAGTCTCTAAGCACCACCAGGGATTCCCCCTGTCTCCCCAAAAAATAAATAAATAGAAAATAAAGTCCCTGGAACTTGGACTCCTTGTAGTCCTGGGTTCCGTTTGAATGGCTTCAGCTTCCTTTTCTTTGCCAGCCCGGGTTCCTAAGAAGATTCTCAAGTGCAAGGCAGTGTCTCGAGAACTGAACTTCTCTTCAGCAGAGCAAATGGAAAAATTCCGCCTGGAACAGAAAGTTTACTTCAAAGGCCAGTGCCTAGAAGGTATTCTGCCGCCCGGGTGCCGCAAGTCCAGTCTAGGGTGGCAGGGACGGAAGATGCGACCCCGGGAACGACAGCAGGATTGGCCACGACCTCCTGCTTCCACACCCCAGGGACAGCACAGGCCCAGCAGCAGCTCCAGGGTGTGACCGGCCCGCAGCTGGGCCGGAGTCACAACCTGGCCACAAGTGTAGCTCCCATGCAGGCCACCAGCACGGCCTCCCTGGCTGAGTGCGTCCATCTCGGTATAGGCACGCACGCGTGTCGTTAAGCTGAGATCCCCAGTGCCCTGCCTTGTCCTCATTTCCCAGTTGCTAAGGGGGTGTTGCCTGTGCTGTGTCTGCCTGGCGTGCCGAGGCAGGGGACCCCAGAGCAAGGGGAACAGCTGTGGCAGGGGGCCGGGGCAGCCTAGCCCTTTGCACACGTCCAGCCTGGAAGTTTCATTGATGGGTCTCAGGTCAGGAGAGGCCTGCTCCAAAGGAGGGTCACAGAACCCTGGAACCACCCAACCCGCTCTCGCCCCCACTCACCTGCTTTTGCTTCTTCCTTCAGAATGGTTCTTCGAGTTCGGCTTTGTGATCCCCAATTCCACGAACACCTGGCAGTCCCTGATAGAGGCAGCACCTGAGTCCCAGATGATGCCGGCCAGCGTGCTAACGTGAGTGAGCAGGGGTGACTGGAATCAGGCATTCCAGACGGTGGGGTGCCAGGCTCCCACATTGGGTGGGCAACCTAGGTTGAAAAGAAGCATGAGAGCTGGAGCGATAGCACAGTAGTAGGGTGTTTGCCTTGCGCGCAGCCAGCCCAGCCAAGCTGGGTTCGATTCTTCTGCCCCTCTCAGAGAGCCCGGCAAGCTACCGAGAGTATCTCGCCCACACAGCAAAGCCTGGCAAGCTACCCTTGACATATTCGATATGCCAAACACAGTAACAAAAAGTCTCAAAATGGAGACGTTACTGGGCCTGCTCGAGCAAATCGATGAACAACGGGGAGGACAGTGACAGTAAAAACATTATAGATTACAGGGACTGGAGCGATAGCACAGCAGATAGGGCGTTTGCCTTGCACGCAGCCAACATGGTCGACATAGGTTCGATTCCCAGCATCCCATATGGTCCCCCGAGCACCGCCAGGGGTGATTTCTGGGTGCATGAGCTAGGATCAACCCCTGAGCATCGCGGGTGTGACCCAAAAAGCAAAAAAAAAAAAAATTATAGATTACAATGGTGCTTAAATAAAAAAAAAAGCATGAGAGTATCTGGGAGCATCCCAGGTTTCAGGTGACAGAATTTTGTCCTATGAAAAACACATTGAATAGAAAAAAATAAAATAAGTCGGGCCAGGGGTTGCAGAGATAGGCTAAGAGACAAGGTGTTTGCTTGCACGCAGCTGACCCCAGCTCAATCCTCAGCTTCACATGTGGTTTCCCAGGCCCTGCTAGGAGTCACTCCAGAGAATAAAGTGGCCATAGCCCCTGCACGTTGCCAGTATGGGCAGTATCAAAACCAAAAATCAAGGAACCAGTGAGATAGAACAGCAGGTAGGGCGTTTGCCTCACACGAGACCAACCCAGGTTCCATCCCCGGCATCGAATATAGGCCAGTAGTAATTCCTAAGTGCAGAGCCAGGAGCAACTCCTGAGCATGCCAGGTGTGGCCCCCAAAACAAGAAACAGAACAGAAGCACTCAGGGCAGGGAGATCGCTCACGGGCTGGAGTGCGAGCTCTGCGTTGGCAGCCCAGGCTGGAACCAGCGGTGCTGACCCCCAGTCCCGATGTACAGCCACCCAGAGAAAGATGAAAACCTTCATATTTGACCTTTTGATTTTTTTAAGGGAAACAAGATAGTTTCTATTGAACAAAACTTGTTTAGAATGACATAAGGGGAGAGAAAGAGAGGAGGTACGTGTTCAAGAGAGGACACGGACTTCTCCAGAGTGGAAAGAGCAAGCAAGCAAAGAAACAGAGAGACGGGCGAGTGAGATAAGATTCAAGGGAGAACCCGGCCTGCAGAGCGAGCCTGACTTCCCGACGAAATTCCTACTAACCCAGGCCTCTAGGACAATGACCCTGCTCTCCTGGATTCTTCTCCTCTCTCAGCATAAAATTAGTGCTCAGAGGTGGAGATGAAAGGAGGAGATGAGGGGCTGAAGTGATAGCACAGTGGGTAGGGCATTTGCCTTCCATGCAGCTAACCCAGGTTCGATTCCCAGCATCCCATATGGTTCTCTGAGCACCGCCAGGGATAATTCCTGAGTGCAAAGCCAGGAGTAACCCCTGTGCATCGCCGGGTGTGACCAAAAAGCAAAAAATAAATAAATAAATAAAGTTTAAAAAAAAAAGGAAGAGATGACACAGAATGAAGCTGGCGTGAAATGTTTATTAAATCCCTGTGAATTTGCTCCTTTTCCTGGCTACCAGATTCCTCTAGGCTGTGCTTTATTCGAATGGCCTTGAGTCGAGGCTGGCGCAAAGCCTTTGTCCTTTTTCAGGGGATGATGTTTGGTTTAGTCGTGAAGGAAGAGACACACTTAACATTTTAATAGCTCTGCTTCCTGTTCGGAGAACTGAGACTTGGTTCTTTCTCCAAAGCACCGTCACTGACCACCCACGTGCCATTTTTCATGGGAGAACATATTAGTTCAGTCCCAAAACTGGAGCCCCACGGCCAGAGAGATAGTCTAGTGTGGAAGGAGCTTCCCGTTTGATCCCTGGTATCCTATATGGTTCCCTGAGCACTGCCAGGAGTGATTCCTGAGTACAGAGCCAGGAGTAACCCCTGAGCATCACCAGGTGTGACCTAAAAAGCCAAAAAAAAAAATGTGGCCGGAGCAATAGTACAGCAGATAGGACATTTGCTTTGCATGTGACCAAATGGTTTCAATCCTCGGCATCCCATATGATCCCCCAAGCATGACCAGGAATAATTTCTGAGTGCAGGGCCAGGAGTAACCCCTGAGCATCGCCGGGTGTGACCCAAAAAGCAAAAATAAATAAATAAAACCAAAAAGCCAAAAAAAAAAGGACGCACAAAGAGAAACACAGCCCCGGCCTGCGTGCGGCTCCTCCATTTGGTCTTTGGTGGCAGACCCGAGCAGCTGGCTCAGTAGCATAAGAGGCTCGGACCATGACCAGAACCTCTGGAGACTTTTCCCAAGGTGCCCCCCCCGAAGGCTTCTGCTCAGAGGAGCGTCTGACCAAGTCACATTATATCCTGGCACCCCTTTGCCAAGTGAGGGAATGGACCCCGAGGTCCTCGAATCCTGTGGCTGCTAAAAAAACGCCAGGAGCTAGAGCCATATCGCCAGCAGGCAGACAGCCAGGTTCAGTCGCCAGCACCCCGTATGGCTCCCTGAGCCTCGCCAGGAGCCATCCCCAAGCCAGGAGTAAGTCCTGAGCTCTCACGTGTGGCCCAGAATAAAGAGATAAAATAAGAAAAGCTGACGGGGCTGGAGAGATAGCACAGCGGGTAGGGCGTTGGCCTTGCACGCGGCCGACCCGGGTTCGATTCCCAGCATCCTACATGGTCCCCTGAGCTATGCCAGGAATAACTCCTGAGTGCAGAGCCAGGAGAAACCCCTGTGCATCGCCAGGTGTGACCCAAAAAGCAAAAATAAGTAAATAAATAAATAAGCTGAGTAGGGACCTGAGGAACAGTACAGCAGGTAGGACACTTGCCTTGCATGTAGCTGACCTGGGTTCCTGCTCCAGCATCCTATAGGGTCCACTGAGCACCCCCAGGAATAACGACTGAGCATCGCTGAGTGTGGCTCCCCTCCCCTCAAAAAAAAAAGGAGCTGAGTTGGTGTAACCCAAAATGAGACGAGGTGCAGGCCTGCCGCCCGCCCAAGTAGATTCTGTAGTTCTGATCTGTCGCCCAAGTCAGACTGGCGTCCGTGTTCCGCGCTAGGTTCCAGGTGGGTGCACGTCCCCTCGCCCAGAAGCCCCCCAGAGCAGCCCTGGCACGCGCGGTCAGTCTTGCTGCCCCATTTCCCCGCCTTGACCCTCTCTTCTTCCTTGCAGTGGGAACGTCATCATAGAGACAAAGTTTTTTGACGACGATCTTCTTGTAAGCACATCCAGAGTGAGACTTTTCTACGTTTGAGAGAAGAATGTGTGTGCGTTTCAAGGATGGGGGGCGGGGGCGGGTTGGGGGCGAGAAGGAGGAAATTGTTTACTTTTTTCCTCCAAGCATTTGGTTTTTGACACTTCCAAGTTCCCCCTGCGGCTCCACTGCTGCCACCCGGGGACCAGCTCCGTGTAGGTAACCAGGTGGCTTTTTTCTCCCAGGCCACCACCTTCCACTGACCAGACTAAACTCCCACCCCAGACCAGGGCCGAGGCGCGTATCACAGGGTCACACGCACCACGGCCTCGGCCCCCGGGCCCTGCAGCTAACACGCCTCCCTCTGGCCCCTGGTTCCGGGAACACTTACGTTCCTGACCCATGGTTAGATGGTTAGTTTTTTTCCTACATTTCTATTTCATACATTCTCATACATTTAACTTGTAAAATAGACTGTGATATTATTATTATTATTATTATTATTACATAATGAATTAAAAGAAATTAAAGATTCTTACAGTCGGTAGTATGGTCCTGTTTTCATCTCTGCTCTTCTCTCCAGTGGGAAGAGACAGGTTCAGCCTGTCTGGCCCAGCTCCCCGTTCCTCAGGGGCACCCAATGGCTCTCCTGGCTCCCAAGCACTTCCGTTTGGCTTTCCAGGGGGTCCTCTGTGCCCCAACACGGCTGTGACGCTCATCTCCTAGATATGACGTTAGTGCAGAGATGCGCCGTGTGGTGGCGGTGCTTAGTCGTCTGTTCTGTAGTGTCCTCTTGTTGGAGAGCTTTGAGAGAGAGTTGAGTTTGAGTTGATCGATTATGGACGTGCCGGAATTCCCAAGCCAGACCACAGAAGTTGCAGGATGGGACCGGAGCAGAGAGGGTGCTGGCCTGGCGCGTGGCCGAACCCACTTCCATCTCTCATATGGTCCCCCTGCACTGCCTGGAGTGACTCCTGAGCACGGAGCCAGGATTGTAAGCCCTGAGCACCTCCGGGTGTGGCCCCAACCGGCAACAATAAATCACCCACTTGTTCCTAGACTCTGACCAGCTTGTTAGCCGAAAATGCATGTTGCCAGGCAGCATATATCCCGGGATCATGAAGAAAGCCCTGCGGGTTGTCAGAGGGCATCACCCTGTATCTGGCTGAGTGGCCAGGGGTGAACAGGGTGGGGGCATTGGGGGGGAGATGCCTCAAATGGGATCTTGGGCACTGGTGCTGTGTACATCAGAACCATAAATGTTTTTTGGGGGGTTGGCTTCTGGGGTCACACCTGGCGATGCTCAGGGGTTACTCCTGGCTCTACACTAAGGAATTACTCCTGGCAGTGCTTGGGGCACCATATGGGATGCCGGGGATTGAACCCGGGTCAGCCGGGTGCAAGGGGCAAACTCCCTACCCGTTGGAGTATCACTCCAGCCCCAGAACCATAAATGTCAACACTCATATAAATGTGTATCCTAAACAGGAATAGTTATGAACTATTAAAAAAAAAGTTAATTATAAAACAAGGGCAGGCACATGAACAAGTAGAGGAGCCCCGAGTGCCAGACCCAGCACTGAGGCCGTCACGGTCCAGCTGCGTAAGAGTCGGGCTCGGGGCCACACTGAAGGCCAGAGAAGCCTGGGCACCCGCCCGCACGGTGTATGTCACTGCTTCTAGGACTTTGGGGGGCACAGGCCCTGCCCCCAGGAACTCTCAGTCATGGCGGCCCAGGGCGTGTCTGGCCTCTAATAAGCCCCAGGTTGCAGCTCCTACCCAACACGGCCTCCCGAGCACTGCCAGGTGGAGCCCTGCTGGCCCTCGACACAGCTGTGGGGGGGCCCAAAATAAACCCCAACATACAAGTGTGGCACAGAAATCTGCTGTGATACCTCTTGGTCATGCTCCAAAATCCTCAAGGAGGGTCCTTGGCCTTGCACACGGCTGACCCGGGTTACATCTCCAGCGCCCCGTGTGGTTCCCCGCGACCCGACAGGAGTGATCCTTGAGTAGAGACAGCCCCGAGCACCGCTGGTCATGACCCCAAAACAAACCAAAAACTTGAAGAAAAGGTGAGTGAGATGCCCACAGGTGCCTCTAGGGGACTCAGCCCCACCCAGGTGCCGAGGACCAGAGGGCAGCTCAGCCGTGCACCGGGCCAGGCTCGGACAGTGCATGGAGTGGCCGCAGGAGAAAGCCCGTGAGAACTCAGCCTGCCTTCCGGTTATAGACAGGCCACATGGATCCCCCACATTGCTCCCAGCTTGCTGCTTGCTGGTGCCTGGCATCCCGGACTCCTGGGATGGGCACAGTGAATGAGCTGCCTTCCCAGTGGGCCCTGGCCCCATCCTGATACATCCATACCAGTAAGAGCACAGAGTCAGGAGTAAGCCCAAAACACAGCAAAAAAAAAAAAAAGCCGAGCTTCGGGGCCAGGGATGTGGCTCTGCGTGGGTGAGTCCCACATTCAATCCCTGGAGCTGCGCCCACTCACACAGAAAGGCGGGGAAATGGCTCAAAGGGCTGAGTGCTCTTCATTCAGGAAACCAGACTATCCCTCAACACAGCATGGGCCCCCCCCACAACAAGCCCTGTCATGCATGTGACCCAAACCCCCCACCTCACAATGAAACAGGAAAACGGAGTTTCAGGCAAAGAAAGGCTCCGTAAATCTTTAAACTCACGCCAACGAAGGCAGACCCAGGTGTGCCATATTTGGTGGTCTAGTTTGTTGAGTCTTTTTTTTTTTGAGGGGGGGTCATGCCCAGCGATGCTCAGGGGTTACTCTTGGTTCTGCACCCAGAAATTACTCCTGGTGGTGCTCAGGGGACCATATGGGATGCTGGGGATTGAACCCGAGTTGGCCACGTGCAAGGCAAAGGCCCTATCCACTGTGCTATTGCTCTGGCCCTCTAGTTTTTAATTTTGTTTTGCTTTTAGACCACACCCCAGCGATGCTCAGGGGTTACTCCTGGCTCTGCACTCAGAAATTACTCCTGACGGTGCTCAGGGGACCATATTGGATGCCAGGGTTTGAACCCTAGTTGGCTGCATGCAAGGCAGATATAACTCACTTTACTATCACTCCAGCTCCTAAGGATAAATTTTAAATCAATTTTTTTAGTTGGGGATGACCCAAAAAATACTGATCAAGAGCCAAAGCTACAATAACTTATCTGTTTTTTTAATTTTTTATTTTTGCTTTTTTGGGGTCACACCCGGCAATGCTCAGGGGTTCCTCCTCGCTCTGCACTCAGGAATTACTCCTGGTGGTGCTCGGGGGACCATATAGATGGCTGGGAATCGAACCAGGGTCGGCTGCATGCAAGGAAAACGCCCTACCCTCTGTGCTATCGCTCCAGCCCCAAAACTACATTAACTGGTAACTCTTATTTCAGTATGTTCAATTTTACTGACCTTTGCTGTCTAAATAATCATTCAACTTTTCCTCTCCTTCCTAAAATATGGGAGCCCACGAAGTTTGCATGTCACATTAATGTGCTTGTCCTGGGGCCAGAGCAACTGTACAGCGGGTAGTGTCCTTACCCTTCACACGGCCAACCTGGGTTCAATCCCCAGCACCCCAGACGGTCCTCTAAGCTCGCCAGGAGTGATCCCTGAGCGCAGAGCCAGCAGTAAGCCCTGAACACAGTCCGTGTGAGACAAAGAGAAACAAACAAAACTTGGTTTTCCTTTTTAAAAATGAGCAATAGGGTTTGGCAGGAAGATGCGCCCTTCCTGCCTCGGGTAGGAAGAGACGTGAAGAGGCCGGGGTAGGCCTGGGACGGTTCAAAGATGCAGCGCATCTCGGCACGAGACAGCCCGAGTCTGACCCCCAGCGCCGCCCCCGACCACAGCCAGGCAGGACCCGCTCCACTCCCCAAACACAGGTCAGCGTGGAGCGTAGCCCAGGGCTGTGGGAGAGTACAAACATCTGCCCAGGAGTGGGAGAACGTTTCCTGGGCTTGGTGCAGTGGGAGCCTGATGCTCTCCCTCCCGCGGTCCCGCCCCAGGAACACAAAAGAGCAACGTTAGCCCGAGCCCCAGTCCCTTCCACAGTTGTCACCATCAGGGACCAAACATTTGGGACTGTGGCCCTGTCTCCCTGCCACATCTGTCCTGCATCGACAGCAGAGGCCAGGGTGCAAGACTGCAATGGGAATCGGCACCAGCCTTGCATGAGCAACCCAGACTCGATCCCCAGAATGCCAAGTGACCCCTACCAGGAATGATCTCAGAGCACTGAGCCAGGAGTACACCCTGAGCACTGCCAGATGGGGCTCCCAAAGTAAAAAGTGCCAGTTCACACAGCACCCAAAAGGAGAGAGAGAACAAAAGAGAATGCCCTGCCACAGAGGCAGGGTGGGATGGTGGGATGGGGGATGGGGGGAGGGAAGGCTACTGGGATCAGTGGTGGTGGAGAATGGGCACTGGTGGAGGGATGGGTACTCGATCGTTGTATAACTGAAACCCAGGCACAAAAATTTATAAGTCTACAACTGGGCCTCCTGGTGTTTCACTAATGAAAATTTAAATTTTTTTAAATTTTTTTATTTTTTTGCTTTTTGAGTCACACCCAGCAATGCTCAGGGGTTACTCCTGGCTCTGTACTCAGGAATTACTCCTGGCGGTGCTTGGGGAACGATATGGGATGCCGGGGATCGAACTCAGGTCGGCAGTGTGCAAGGCAAACACACTACCCACTGTGCTATCGCTCCGGCCCCTCACTAATAAAAATTTAAAAATTAAAAAAAAAAAGTGCTGGTTCAAATGGTCCCTGAGGGTCCAGCTGCCTTGCATGTAGCCAGATGGATGTGACCCCCAGCACCGCATGGCCCCCCCAAACATCGCTGGGACCCCAAGGACCTGGCCCAAACCTCCCCCTCCCCAAATTAAGGGGGTCTTCAAAGCCAAGTGTGAAACATCAGCCATGCCATTAGCTAAACAAAGGGGCACTGAGACCAGGGGAAGCCACAGCAGGTGGTCCTGGGTGAGGAGGGGTTACTCCCAGCTCAGTGCTCAGGTTGTGCCCCAGGGATGGAGCCGGGCCTCCCACCTGTGAAACATGCCCCTCGTCCTGTGAGCCCTCT